TTCCTCCCCAACCTCCTCACTGTCTGAATCTGCTGCCAGCTCTGCTGGCAGGCCACAACAAAAACGAGGACCCTGTTACAATTCCCACTAAAGGTCAGACAGAGGAGATGTAGATCTAAAATACGCCCTTACTTGCTTAGTGAAGGTGTTTAGATCCACCTCTTGTGCATGTCTAAAAGATTCCGCCATTCTAACAAAGAGATAGATACAAGGGGTACGCTCCTGACCCCAGTCTTTCTCCCTCCTCCTCCCCAATTTTTGATGGGTAAGAAAAAAGAAGGTCAAACTCCAAATTCTTCTCCTTTTGGAGTAAAGAATACGTAGGTTGCAGAATCTGAACCCTTCCTTCCTTCTGTTGAGGTTGAGGTGACCTCACTCCTTTTCCACTCAGGCCGGAAGCGATGGCTGTTTCCAGAACTAAAGGTATGTGAAGGTCCCTTTCTGCAGGCAATTATTGGCTTTCAAAGACGGCAAATATCAGGTGGACTTCCAAGCCATTTACCCCATCGGAAGACCTGCTACCGAGAGTCCTCGACGTACGACCGTAACTGAGCCCAGCCTGTGCTATAAGCGGGACATTTCTTAAGCGAATCCCGCCCCGTCGTACAACCTTTCTTGCCATCGCCGTTAAGCGAATCGCTGCGGTTGTCAAGTTAGTCGCAAGGTTGCTTAGGGAAGCCAGCTTCCCCATTGACTTGGCTTGTTAGAAGGCCGAAAAATGGGGGTCACCTGACCCCACCCCCATCCCCAGGGGAACGCAGCAAGCGTCATAAATACGAGTCAGTCGTGGAGCACCTGAATTTCAATCGCGTGACTGTGGGGGAAATGCTGCAGTGGTTGTAAGTGTGGAAAACGAGTCACTTTTCTTGGTGCCGTTGAACTTGTGTTTCACCGAAAATGAGACCTCCCCGGAGAATAAGCCCAATCGGGCTTTTGAAGCGCATGCGCTAAAATAAGCCCTTCCCGAAAATATTGCAACACAGCAGCAGCCATGAGGGGATCTCGCTGCCTCCTGCACCTCAGAAATGACGTCTTATTTTCAGGGAAACACCGTAATTTAATTTAATTTAATTTAATTTAATTTAATTTAATTTAATTTAATTTAATTTAATTTAATTTAAT